TCAACCACCAACATTCCACATACAATCACAGACAACACACACCTATCCACAACCACTCAAATTCATACATTAATACATTCCACGTTCTACCTATATAAATATACTTCCCAATATTTCTTATGACTACTGGTATTATGTCACTATTTTGTAATGTCCTCTTTTACCCAATATTTTCCTCTACTGTCTCCCTCAGCAACATATGTTATTAACTCAGAATAAGAATAATTATTATAATCATCATGTCTTAGTTTTATGAATCCTATATATTAATGAAACTATTGAATATTAAATCATAATATAAGTCATATATGTGTTATATATATACATATTATTGTATACATAAATATATTATATCGTATACACCCTATACATACATATATGTACTATATATATAGATAATTATCATGGTCAGCTAAATTTTAAAAATCGAGAAATATTTGGAAACTTCTGCGAAATGATCATGCAGCCCATATGAAGTTCCCCTGACAACACTGTCCGATAAATTCAGTTGCATGAAGAAAATAGCCTTGGCATTGCTATCAACATGTTCGAATACATGCAACATGACCTCAGTCCCTATCACTGCAGACTTACAACAGGTCACTCTAAGAATTATTTGAAGCTCAGAGTGTATCCAGATATTAATATGATGGAGTATAAATCTAAAAATCATAAAACATATACATTATTTGTTACGAAGAATGCTAAATGCTACAAAAATCTTACATTCTTGTTATACATGCGGAGGAAATATATTTGGGTATAAAGTACCGAGAAAAAAAAAATGAAAAACTGGCACGCAAGGTTATGAATAAGAAGGTATTAATTATCAACTGGCGCAACGTGTTTCAGAAGGTTGCCGACCCCTGGTGTGTGTATATATGCATATATATATATGATACACACACACACACACACACACACACACACACACACACACATATATATATATATAATATATATATATATATATATATATATATGTGTGTGTGTGTGTGTGTGTGTGTGTGTGTGTGTGTGTGTGTGTGTGTGTATAATATATATACGATCTATATATACATACATATATATATATATATATATATATATATATATATATATATATATAGAGAGAGAGAGAGAGAGAGAGAGAGAGAGAAAAGAGAGAGAGAGAGAGAGACCGATTCGGTGTGACGTCACGAGTCGGAGTCGCCATTCCACTTGGTGAAAACAAACCCGTCGCTCGCAGATACCTCGCTATCAGACAGACAGACACACACACACACATATATTGTGTGTGTGTGTGTACATATATACATATATGTGTGTGGTGTATACATACACACACACACACACACACACACAACACACAACATACACATATATATATATATATATATATATATATTATATATATATATATATTATGTATATATATATATATATATATATATATATATATATATATATATATATATATATATATATATATATATATATATATATATATATATATATATATATATACATGTATATATATATGTCGAGATCGATACTACTGACTCGACATTTGAAAGACTCCACTGAAAACTTTTATACAATTTTCCTTCTAAGGCATATCAAAATATCAGAATTCAGTTTTATGATAAAGAAAAAATTCTAATACTCAAATACGAATAGTTGATTGGTCTAATGTCACCAATGCAATGGGGGAGAAAGCAATAAGCAGAGATATCGTCACTGTCTTGTCAACGCTGGCGCCCGTGACTCTCCTCCGACACACAGCTGCACTGAACGCCGATGCTAAAAATAGAGTCTTGTCCGGAAGATGGTAATACTTGTTAAGTGCTTTTTTAAGTGATTGTTGAAGCCCTTTGCAATAGATTGTGGTGATTGAGACGGTGTCCTTGCTCTCTTCCCGCGTCGAGAGAGAGAGAGAGAGAGAGAGAGAGAGAGAGAGAGAGAGAGAGAGAGAGAGAGAGAGAGAGAGAGAGAGAGAGAGAGAGAGAGATTGGGAAATTTGGGGGACGCGCCATGATTTGCCAGCCCCATTGTCTAGATTGTGTTCAATTTTCTCTTATTTTTTATTTATCATTATTATGATTTTGCTGTTATTTTTCATTATTTATTATCTCTTTTATCTTTATTTATCTATTTCTTCTTATTTATTATTTCTTTTTTTTTTTTTTATTTTGGACCGCTGATACCAGCGATAGAATTAGTCGAAGGAGACAGTTCCCACATTTAAAAAACTATTACTATATCAAAGTAGAGAATGGATGGAATCGTGAGTAACTCTTGATCCCATATCACGTTTGTTTTCATCATCATAATGATTATTGATTTTTAATTAGTAGGCAAAGGGTTGGCTGTAATATAAAGTTAACCTTAGACTTCAAGTAGGTTCGCAGAAACGAATATTCCTCTTTTTCTATATGATTTTTATTGCCACTCGTTACTTATCGTTTGTTTATAGAAATGAAAGAAATTGGTTAAAATTGTTTCTCTGACTGTCGTAGTT